GCCGTGGGCGCCGCTGCAGGACTCCGCCGTGTATCTGGCGTCGCTGGGTAAGTGCGCGTCTTCACCTGCTCCTCGGCCTGCCTGCGCCCGCTGCTGCTGCTGCCGCCGCTGCCCCTGCCCCTGCCCCTGCGCCTGCCGCCGCCCGGCGCCGACCCTCAAGTGGCAGCTCTTGCGGCTTTATCTGCCGAAGAGGCGGCCCAGGGGATTTAATAGCAGCCTTCAGCTATCTAAAGGGCAGCTCCAAAGAGGAAGGAACTGGACTGTTCTTAGTGGTGGTAGACAAGGAGCAACCACCTCACCTTGCAGCAAGCAAAGTTTAGGTTATATATTAGGAAGAGCTTTCTCACTAGGGAGGTAGTAAAACACTGGAACAGGTTACTCAGGTTGTGGACTCTCCATCCTCAGAGGCTTTTAGGACTCAGCTAGACAGAGCCTTGGCTGGGATGATATAGTTGGGGATGGTCCTGTTTTGAGGGGGAGGGGTTGGATTAGAGACCTCCTGGGGTCCCTTCCCACCCTCATTTTCTATGATCCTATGAAAGCTGAGGGCTGGCCTGTTTTGAAGGCTGCCCTGAATCCAGCATGGGGTGCTCTCCATTTCCATGACCTGGGGAAAAACCCAGCAGCAATACTTTCACAAGCCCTGTCCACAAGAGACATCTAAACAAAGATGCCAGTCACAGAAGAGTGTGCAAATCTTCATGAGAATCCATCCTGTTTCCCTCACATTCTGCAGTAACTTCAGCTGGCAGTCAGTCTGCCTTCCTGTTTGATCAGTTGTTAATTAGTTAAAAGTGTGTTGCTATTGTCACTAGGTTTCAAAATCCATTCCCTTTTGCAACCAATAGGATCAATTTGCTCCTCTCTGAATTTGAAAATATAGAAACTCCCATGTTATTACTGCTTCAGACTGCCTGCACACTTGGGCAGACATCACTGCAGGGTGGACAGCCTTTGCTTTCATGAAGGCAGGAGCAGCGGTTCCCAAACTGGGTCACATCTCCAAATGGGGTTGCAGCATCAGTGGATGGGGTTGTGGGGGTGAGGGGTTGGGAGTCAGGGGCCATGCTGAGGAAGAATTTGGGAAGCATTGGGCTAGAGGTTTAACTTGCTTTTAAATAACTATTTAAATTCTGGAATATAAGAGGACAACTTCCAAAACAAATGCCTACTTACTGTGCCACAGTAAGCTGGCCTAGTTAGATTCCTTTGCATGCCACTGCTCGTTGTCAAAACTACATATGCAAATTCAAAAAGAAATACAGTAAAATCCCTGTTTTCTAGCATTCTACTAGCCGACATACTATATTAGCCGGCACCCCACCACTGCCACGGTGCTGCCACCATCCACCACTCTGCACCACTGCCACCATATGCAACCACCTTGTGCTGCCGCCGCCGTCCACCACCCCACACCACTACCATGTGCAAGCAGCCCCACCCCCCGCTCCGGTATTGTTAGATTACCAGCACCCAGCATTCCTCACGTATGCTGGATAGAGATTTTACTGTACATTTCAGTGTCATTTAAATATAAAAGAATATACCTATTCAGATTTCAGGTAGTAGCAAGATGGTTGGCCTATGTAGTATGATTTGGTCATGAAGTGTTAAAACCCTTTGGATTTAAACCCTCAGTCCATAAAACAATCTCCTGTGTTTTCTTTTCTTGTAAACTGCCCCCCAACAACAATTATATTGTTTTCCCTCCCATAGAAAGAAGACTGATGAGAATTAAGGGTTTGTCTCAGGAAGTGACCTCCAAGGACATGCTGCATACTCTTGCCCAAGCAAAGAAAGAATGCTGGGATAGGTTTCTGCAGGAGAAATTTGAGTCTGAATTTTATATTGAAGAACACGAATCTGATGAGAGGTAATAAGCACACTGATGAGGAAAACCAGTCCAAGAACTACCATCCTTGTTAGCAGCTAGGCTAGAGCTTTCTTTGTTCCAACCTTCCCTTTCCTTTATTTGTTTTAAAAAGGAAAACAGTTGGTATGTGCATGAGTATTGTAGTAAAAACAGTACTTACCGTTCTGCATCTTCTGCTTTGCTAACATTACCATAGCAGCTGTGTGACAGGTAAGTAGCCATATCTCCATCTTAAATATAAAAGCAAAAGAGGACAAGACCTGAATTTTCAAAGGTGGTTGCTAAATTTTGAGTGCTTCAAATTTTAGGGATCCAACATGAAACAGTTGAGGCCATTTATTACCTTTCATTGCTACATTTTGGGTGCTCAGAGGCTGAAAATTTATCGTTTGGTGATTACAAATAGTTAGCCATAAGCTTAACATGAGAAGCTCCAGGCAGGCCAGTGTTTGCATCTGTGCATAACTCTACTAAGTGCATGTAGCTTCAAGCAGGTGAAAGTGTGGGACACACCTGTCTATGAAGCTCCTTACATGTTTAGGTCCAGTGGGGAAGTTGTTGCCAGAGCTGAAATACGAAGTCCCAAAACTGTGGTTTCCAGTCCTGTGTTCAGCCTATAGTGTTTGCGCACTTTCTCACATAAATGATGAGTAAAGATGAGAGGACTTTTCTGCTGCAATTTCATATTTTTAGTGACTTCTTATAGTTTTCTGAAAAATCACTCCTTTTTGAGCTGCAATTTACCATGATTGCTTCCATTTCAAAGAAGATTGCTTTTCCTTGAGACCTTTGGAAAGAAGACCCATTAAAGCTAATTTTAGAGCATAAATGTGAGAAATAATTTGTACCCCATATAATTTTCTTGCTTTTTCTTCAGTCTGTTAACTTTATTTTAAGTGGAAAAACAGCTAAGTAATGAAGACCCAACTGCTCGTTGTGCAAACTTTTTTTAAGGTTGAAAAAACATTAAGAAAATATTGTCCCATCTCTTCTCCCAGTTGACTTCAGTAGGTATTGCACTGTGAAATCTTCAGTGTTTGATCCACTGAAATTGGGTATGGCAATATTGCTGGTATTAACGTCTGAGAATTTAAGCATACAGTTGAACAGAAACTGGACCGTGGATCTTTTTAGAACAGTAGCATTCTACATTAGAGTTAAAGTACGCATTTAAATAAGGGAAGAGATCTGCCTAATATGCTATGTTAGCATATAGCACTATAAAATGTTCAAGGATAAATGCAGCAGCAACCTTCTCCAAATAAATTTCTCCTGACCTGACAAAGGGATGGGATAGATGTGCCAGCAGGTTTTTTGCACAGCATGATGGTCTCTTAAATTGGAGAGGCTAAGTCACAAAGCTTCATATGGGTTTCCTAGAGCAGTGTTTCCCAACCAGTATGCTGTGGCACAGGTGTGTGCTGTCAGAAATGAAAAGGTGTGCTGCAGAATTTTGCCATGGCAATGAGCTACAATAGGTATAAGGATAGGGAATGCCTTTGCAGATATGCCGCAGAAATTTTTTATTAATGTAAGTGTGCCTTGGGCTGGAAAAGGTTGGGAAACACTGTTCTAGGGTTATTTCCTTACTAGACATCCTTAGTTGGGGAGAATTACACAAATTCTTCAGAGATCAGCTTTTACCTAGCTAATAAACCTAATAGTAGAGGTGCACTGATATAAAGAAAATTGACTAAATTGGAAATCAGCCATATCTGGTTGATAAATGGCCTGTGCATGTGCACAGCGCAACACAGCACAGGTGGAAAGGAGCACAGCCCGGCATTGTGGAGATCTGCCTCCAGCTGGTAAGTCTGTTGTGGTAGAAGGGATGTGGGGGGGCAGATCAAGGCCCCTGCAGTGAGGGGGGGCTGGGGCTGGTGTTGGAGGGCAGATCAAGGCCCCTGCCCGGTCAGGGTGGGAATGGGACCAGCGGCTCCTGGCTGAGCGGTGTGCAAGTGGTGGGAGCCACATGTCCCCCGAATGAGCCATGGCACTGTCCAGCGCCCACCCTGGGCTGGGCAGTGCTTGCCTCAGCCCCACCCTTCTCTTCCCTCACCACGTGGGCCTTGATCTTCCCCCACACACCCCTTCCCTTCCCTTCCACCACACCAGATTTACCACCTGGAGGCAGCTGTCTACGCTGCTGGGCTGGTATTGGAAATCAGATTGGTATCAGCTGATATGCCTCCTTAAAAATCAGTTATCGGTATCAGCTGTAAAAATCCCTATCAATGCACCCCTACTTAACAGTAATGTTTGTTTACAATGTATGTAAAGTATTTCCCAGAAATGTTAAGTTTCCCATAGTTCTAAATTGGGGTGGGCAAAATACAGCCTATGGGCCAGATCCAGCCTGCCAACTGATTATACCTGGCCTGCAAGTTGCTGGCTGCAAAGTCATAGGATCCAGCCCATAGGGAGGCAGTGGTTCTGCCTGCTGCATTATGCTCGGTGGGCGGGTACATCCCAGACCCATCCACAGCTTACACCAGCTTCTGCCCTGTGTGCCAGAAGGAGTGCCAGTTGCACATGGCAGCAGCTGTGGATGCTGCCTGCAAGTTCCTGCCGGGGATCAGGGCAACTGCTGGGGACTGCAGCTGATGCAGCAGCGTCACCTGCGGACCCAGGAGAATGTCCTATCACCAGGGAGAAGCTGCTGCCTGCATCTGCAGCTGATGCCAGTGGCTGCCTGGTGCCACTTCTGGTGCATGGGCTGGGAGCTGTGGGGCCATGCTCTAGGTGCAGGACAGTTGGGGGTAGGAGTGGAAAGGAGAGACAGAGGCAGCCCTGCCCTTGATGAGCCGCAGCAGCCAGTGTTGGATGCCAGGCAAAAGCAGGACCTGGCAGTTGGCTCACCTGCTGCTTCTGGGGTCCTTCTGACTGCAGCTGCCCAGAGCCCCTGCCAGGACTGCCCTGTGGCTCCTCCCTGTTGCTGTTGCCCTGCGCCACCTTCAGGCCACCCTGGGCCTGCAGAGTTGCAGTAGCAGCAGTGGAGAGGAACCATACCCAGAAGGGCCCTGAAAGTGGCGAGTGTGCCTGCTGCTGGGTCCTGCTTTTGCCCAGCACCCAGTACTGGCTGTTGACCCCCATCATAGGCAGAGCCACCTCTTTGTCTCCCCCTTGTCCACCTCTTGCCCCTCCCCAGCCATGCTGCATCTACAGCTTGGACCCACAGCTTGCACTAGCTCCTGGCCTGTGCACTGAAAGCAGCGCCAGGTGGACACCAATATCAGCTGCAAGTGCAGGCAGTAGCTTCCCCACAGGGATCAGGGCATCTGCCCAAGCCCCTCCTTGGGATAGAAGGGCAGGCTGAAGCTGCTGCCTCAGCTCCATTCACAGCCCCTCCCACATAAGGACATTTGGTGAGCTGTCAGGGAGCGGGGGGATGTTGCTCTGGCCTGCTGCCCTGACCTGCAGTAGGTCACCTAAGCTCCCTGTGTGGCCCGTGTTCCCAAATACTTGCCCACCTCTGTGCTAGGTAATGTCCTCAGATACATAAAGTAAAGAGAAAAGAATTTTTTCTGGGTTGAGTTGTACATTGCCTTAAGTAGCACAGATTTCTAGTTTTGTTTCAAGATGTTGCCCCCTGTATGTTGAACTGTAGTCCCAGAGGGTCGGTGTCCTGATTCATGACTTAAAACTATTAGGATGGTAGGGACCAAACTTCGTCTTCTCTGCCTTGGGCCAGAGGAAGCCTAGAGGAAATCCCTATGGAGTGATACTCTGCCCCTTCCCTATCTCCCACCCCGCTTTTAACTCAATACTGGCTTTGCTGCTGCTTTTATATTTAGGTTCTCTCCCTTGTTTTCCCTCAGCACTCTGGAATATTTAAAGCGGTGGCTCCACCCTGACAAAGTAGCAATCAGCACTGAAGAAGTCCAGTGCCTAATTCCTCCAGAATCTCATCCGGACAAGCAAGAAGATGAGGAAGAACCTCCAGCAGCAGAACAGTGAAATGCACTCCAGACATGTCAAGCAGTGCCTCCTGTCCAGGGACCAATAGAGTTCATTCAGTAGCAGTAACAACAGATTGGGAGAGGAAAAGTGCCAGTTATTGGTCAGTAAGCTATTGGCCTTCGCAGAACGAACTTTGTGACTAGTGGTTGGTATGGGCAGGGGCGAAGTGCTCTGCAACTCAGTGCATGCTGGACCTAGATCTTACTTTTTATCTCTATCTCCCATCTTGTAGCAATCTAGCCATTCCAGATTTAAAGGCAGTTGTTTGTAATTTACCAAGAGGAGTACAAAGCTTAAAGTGGCTGTTCGGAAGTGTCAGAAAATCTGATACTATACAATGGAGCAGATTGAAATCTTAACAACAGTCATTTCTGCCTTATTGGACCTCTTTCTGTAGTTATATATTTCCCAGAATTACCCTTTGGCTGCTAGCTTCGTGGGCTTTATTCAGGCATTGATCCTTTTCAGCAAGTTGCACTGTGATGTAAAACTGCACAATTTGTGTCTGAGTTGGCTCTGAACTGTGTCTTGGAGAGGTAAGAAATGTAAGTCATGCCCAGGTTGGGGGGCAGACTGAAGGAGACCCTACTCTCAAACAACTGTTACAGAAGTGTATTTAACATTCCCTCTTCTTGTAACATGCTGGACTATCATGTTCATCAGACAGTCTGATCTGGAAAGAATTACTGTATGCTCTGCTCTGTGTGTCTGTCCCTCCATTCCTACTCTTGTAACCATGGAAAGGGACAGACCTGATCAAAATCAGGAAAGCAAATGTAACATTGGGGGTTGCGAGTAAGCAGCTTACTGCTTTTGTGTTAAATAGTTCTATATGAGACTACCTTTTAAGCCTGTTCTTTTTACATAAATTTACTTTGTCTTTTGATCCTTTGTTGCCTATGCAGAATTGTCCCTGTAATTCTTATTGGAATGAGTCTTGACTCTTACTGTGTAGCTGCAATTTCTCTTCTGTGATTTGGCAATAAAAACAAGCAGAGAATAGCAGCCTGCACCTGCTGCTGAGGACAGTTCTTAAAGGAAAACTAGCAATTATTTCTTATGCTTTATAGAGCTGGATCTGCATTTGGAATACAATAGAACTGTATGAAATTGCATTTTTGAAACAGCTTTTTGAAATACCTGCCACAGTTCTCATGTTACATGTATAAGTGTGACTGGTGCTATTATCCTTTTTAGAGACAGTTACTGTTTTATTGCTTTAGCCGAGCAGAAATTCCATTCTGATCACTCATGGCTTGTCTACACAGGGAAATCTACTAGCAGAACCATATTACTATAATTATACTGACAACTCTCTTCTCCAGAATAAGTGGTCACATGAAGGGTTATGGTATACATCAGTCAATATTTAGACTATGAGACAATTGCAAATAATGCAGAAGACAGGCTACAGGAAGAAATGACTAATTAAATATTAATGCCCCTTTCATGCTCCAAATACATCTTCTGTCTCCCCCAGGTTTTGCAGCCTTTATTTTTTTCTCTTTATTCACAGTGTGGAATGTGACTCCTGTCTTTACATCTTCAGAGATGTGGAACAGTCTGGCATGTGTGACAGATTGACATTTATCTGATAATCATTTATACTTACTAAGCACATCTACACATGCAATTAATGTGCACAAATAAACTCCAGAGCTTATTGCTTTAGCAATTTTTGCTCCCTTGTGTGCCGTTTGAATGTGCGCCCAAAGCAAAAAACTAGAGGTGCACCCAATACATTGGTTCAATATTAGATTGGCATCAATGTAAAGAAAATTTTCTGTATTGGAAATCAGCCCAATATGGCCAATAATTTGTCCAATAAATGCCCGTGCGTGCGTGCGTACGGCTGCAGCACAGCACATAGGCAGAGTAGCAGAGCAGGCAGAGTAGAGAACTGCCAGCAGCTGGTAAGTCTGGTGTGGGGGAGAGGAGGTGAGGGTCAGGGGGAGGAAAGGAGCATGGGGGGCAGATCAAGGCTCCCCATGGTGAGGGAGGGTGTAGGGGTGGGGTTGCCCAGCTGGGATGGGGCGGGTGTGGGACGGAGCTGTGGCTTTTCTGGTGGGGGGCAGCTCCCACTGCTGTGTGTAGCTCATCTGGCGTCTCCTGCTGTTGCTCCTGCTGCTCATCCAGGATCATGGGTATCTGAAGTCTGTTAAGTCAGAAGGGGCATGTGCCTGATTGCCTGGCTGGGGGGGTTCCCCAGTGGGTGATCCCACTTACTGGGGGTGGGGTTCCCTGCAGCTGATCCTGATCTCACCGTAAAAGTGGCCACTTCTGGAAGCAGTGCAGCCACTTTCACTGGTGGCCCTGCTTCCCAGCCAGTGCTCACAGGGAGGGCACAGGTGCTCCTGCCTGCCCCCCCGCTAAACAGGGAGCATGGCCTGACAGGTGGTGCACCAGTGCTCTAAGGGGATGCATGTGCACCCCTGTGCACTCCCTACACATTGCCCCTGTCTGGGATGGCATGGGGGGGACGGGTCGTGTGCCCCCAGATCTGTCTGGTCCCTTGTAGATCCAGGAGCACATGCCCCGCCATGCCCTCCTGGACAAGCGGCGGGAGTAGCAGTGGGAGCCACCAGACAAGCCCTAGATGAGCTGTGTGCAGCAGCGGGAGCTGCCACCCTTTCCCTTCCCGTGCCTCCCAGACAAGCATGGCTCCGTCCCATGCCTGCCCTGGCTGTGGCCCCAGCCTACACATGCCCCCCCCCCCGAAGAGCTGCGTATCATAAATTGGATTGGTATTGGCCAATATGCCTCCTTAAAAATCAGCTATCGGTGTTGGCCCAAAAAATCTTTATCAGTGCGCCCCTACAAAAAACTCCAGAGCTATTAGACCTTGTTTCCCCTAGCGCCCCCTGGCATAACAAGGAATAACGGCCGCAAGTTGTTGGAGAGTAGGTTTAAATTAGACATCCGTAAGAACTATTTCACAGTTAGGGCGGCTAGGATCTGGAACCAACTTCCTGGGGAAGTGGTGCTGGCTTCTACCCCGGGGGTCTTTAAGAAGAGGCTTGATGCCTACCTGGCTGGAGTCATCTGAGCCCAGTTTTTCTCCTGCTCAGGCGGGGGGTCAGACTTGAAGATCTACAAGGTCCCTTCCAACCCTATTTCTATGATTCTATGAATTAGCTTGAGTTTATCTGTGTGCAGCGCGTGGAGCCTGGTGGGAGCAGCCTGGGCTGGCAGGGGACCCAGGGGGTCAGCCTGCCAGCTCAGTTCTGCTCCCACTGGGCTCCATGTGTTGAGGCATGAGGGTGTTTCTGTGGCGGCTAGCTGGCAGGCAGCCACTCTGCTGAAGCACCTTTGTGTTCCAGCCAGCCGCTCCACAGGGCATGGAGCCCCATTGGGCTCCACGTGCTGTGGAGTGGCTGGCTGGGGCATGAGAATGCTTCAGTGTGGGTGCTGCCTGCCAGCTAGCTGTACACTAAAGCATGCGTTTATCATCTACACCTGCCATCAAATTGTACTCATGTCTGATAGGATTAGCCAATGGCACAGTAAATTAGTTTACACTGGCCTAATTGCCATGAATGTGTAGATAGTGATCCTTCACTGTGCAATAAATTAGTCTATTGTGCACTAAAGTGCATGTGTAGACATGACCATTGTGAAGCAGAATAAAGTTAAGAAGGAATTACAGGAAAATAGTAACCCTGTCTCTTTAAAGGTAAAGAGCCAGGTCCTCGTCCACCTATTAAGTATGTAAGCGGTATGTAGGTGTCTAAATAAAATCCCATTCCACCCTGCTTGAGTCCCTGAAAGCCCATTAATACAAAAAGGTGTGTGGGTCCTCCTTTGTGATTTAGTCTTAAATCCTAACAAGAGATGGATTAAGGGCTTTGAGGGAGTTGAGCAGGGTGGAATAATATTGCACTGAGATGCTTAAGTCCTACTTAGATACCAAATAATTGGAATAGGAGCTGGTCCAAAGTGAGCTAGATTCATGTGTAGGGGCTTAACCAAATCGTAATTTCTCAGTGTTTGTGAAAAACAGGAGCTTCCACAATTTTGCACAGAATCACCTGAAAAAAAAGCTTACTAAAAATAAAATGCTGGCACCTCAGTGGGAGCCAGCAGCTGCTGTGGCGTGGTCTCAGCCTGGCGGGGAGGGTGGGTGAAGAGAAGCCGCTGGCATGAAGGGGAGCAGCCAAGATAGCCGCCTCTGCCTCTTACCTCTGCTGCTGCTGCTTGGTCAAA